ACAGGAATAACTGGCAGTTTTAAAAAATTGGACGTGAACTAAACGAACAATTTAGTTATCAGTAATTACAACAGAGCATAGAATGAACATAACAAATCAAAAAATACAGTGTTTTGTATGGTTTTCTGACACTTTCAAAGAAATAACAATGGTTTTACACCACCATTCATTTTATCGATAAGTTTGTCAACAAAGTTCACTGTCAAAAACACACCTTTAAGTTGACATTTTGCAAAATCTAGTTTTCAGAATACAGGAATATATTTTTTAAGGCACAGGTTGGCAGAGTAGCAATAAAGAGTGGTTGACTTACACAGTTGATACAGTAATATCAATTCATTTATACATTAACTTGTTTCGCTATACTTTCCAAGAACACGCAGAAAGCCAAAAAACATCCTGCAAATAGGCAAACTAGTTTTCATAAGTTTCCTTACAAGAGGGATTATTGGTTTATTATGTAGCACAAATTTACGCAAGGAATACATAATGTGTATAATCAGAAAATCAATTATTCAAATTAGACAATGAACGAACGATGCTTACAGACAATAAAACAAACAAAATTATCTCCCAAGTTCATGGCAAATTTCATTGGAATTGGACAAAAATCATTGAAAGGAAGGCAATAATCTATAATTTATAGAGAGAAACATTAGCAGGAACAAGAGCAATGAACAGCTTTTATCTTTGTGTCAGAATAAAAACATTGACAACATAAGTGATATCAGATATTTTTATTTGTATGCTCAGCTCCATATGTGCAATAAATTATGCTACTCTAGTCAGATTCACTTAATATAAAAATAAAAAAGCAATGAATAATAAATTACAAAACAAAATGTACATTATAAACATACTTGGGTAAATATATCGAAATGGTATTGTATTATCACACAAGTATGTACAATAGTGACAAAAAAAATAATTATCATTTTAAAATATCAGTTTTCAATAAGGTAGAAGCCTATGAAAATACTTAATGTATTTATTTGCAATAAATTGTACTCCCAGGCAATATAAAGACAGAATAAAAAAAGGTTGTGTCTCCAGTCTATATTTTGAAATAATGATGGTTGTATTGTGTGCCGTTTCAAGTATAACAGCCACACTTATGGTCAGCATAATTTTAATCACTCAGACTTTGGCCTTGTTACAATTACATGATGCTGACACAAGATTCAGCACAGCTTGGTTCGATTAACGACTTATTTAACAACAACCTGGTGAAAACATAAAAATAAATGCAGACATTGCTTAGTCCCATTGCTGTTAAATTTGCAAAAACACAGAAGACATTGCATAGCCATTGCATACCATGTGACAAAGAATGTATTTTTTTTAAATGTTTACATCTGTAATCCCTCATTTGAATTTGGATCCAGCATTTTTTCAATAGTCGAGAAAGAAATCTCCTTCACCTACAAAATTCCAAACCTCGACACCTGGCCAAACTCCAAGTTCAGAAATGCCTAACACGAGCAAGTATGCAAATTACCATCTACTATGGTTATTACTAATATGCATATGACAAAAACTGTCGTCGATTACAAACGTACATAGATAATAAAAAACAAGTGTGAAGGTATGTAAATAAACACATAGTTAGAATAATGAGTCACATGACCAATAATTGTATCAACATCTCAATTTTTCTGATTACAGCGTGTCACAGCTCAGTCCAAACACAAACACAAATTTAAATACAACCTGGTTAAAATAAGATCTATCATTTTGGCAATTGTGTACAATTTTCACTTGTCTTCACTTAATTTATGATTTTTTTTATTGTGAAAGCACAGTTTCCAATGTGCATTTCAAACATTTTCAGCCATTTCATTATCAAATAAATGAAACTCACTTGTATATGTTGATGTTTTAATTCAGTAAACAGTTCACAATTCAACAAATGACATCATAAAAGTTAAAAGGCAATTCATCATCAAGAATAACTGGCTTATTACATATTTAGTTGATATTCAAAAATGCCACGAGTAACAAATATCAGATAAAGAGAATATTATCTATTTATGAAAGTGAATTAGTTTTATAACACTCAATTAAACCAGGACAATCCATGCATATCATGGACATCCACTTAATAATATAATAGTATTTTATATACTACAATAATATTTAAGCCCTGCAATTTGTAAGTTTATGCTTAAAATTAATTTTATGAAAAGATGGACAAACATAGTATACTCTATGCAGTTTGTATATACTACTTTAGGGGAAAACAAACACCATGTTTTGCTAAAAGCCTGTTAATTCAAACAGTGTTTACAAGTGTTACCTCAAAACATGTTTTTATGAATTACGTAAAATGCAACAGCAACATTCCAGTTCTTTGAGCTTTCATATACATGTCAAATTATAGATGCTTATTTGTCCTACAAAACTATGTTTACTTGAGAAATCTGAACATTTGTATCTTTTTGGATACATGACATCATTTTTCACTGTAACAATGGAGTAAAAGTTGTTAACAATTTGGTGAAGTTCTTTGTTATGAACATTTCAAAATATATTGTTCAGAAGTGTTTTGATATGCAAAAGTAAGCAAATTGAAAGTCAGCCATTTTGAAACAGAACTTGAATTAAGTGCATTTCAATATGTGTGATATGGTGTATATATGAAGTTTTATTGCAATTAGTCAAGGCAAGTCAAAGATATGGCACTAGAACAGCGTTTGTTAAAACAAAATGCCAGTCATCCATTTTTTAATCTGATCTGAAATGCAAAATGATGTGTATTAAAATTCTGTTTAAATGTATGTACTGATTTTGAACGAGATATTATCTGTCTATGCACAACTAAAATCCAGTTCCTGGTTGGCAGTAATGTTTTCAGATATAAATGTCAAAGAACTTCTTGCAATGTCCACAGTAGTTGGTTACTAACACTGCCATATTAATTACAAGTCTATGGGCTCTATTTTCTTTACTGTGGCATTGCAGCAACTACCATATACTACTTTTCCAACCTCACTAAACTTATGCAATAGAGCCATCATATCCTTTGCTGGGTCTAGTCAGCAATGTGTAATTCTTGGTTCTGGTGAGCCGCCTGCTGCTCCATGTTCGGCCACTCCTCCTTCAGCCCCGGCAGCAGGGATATCTTCAGTGCTGATGTGAACAGAGCTGGTCATAGAATTACGAAATCGCGCCAACAATTGTGGCGCAAGTAATGATGATGCCGGACTCATGGATGGTGTAGTGCACCGAGATGTACTCAGATCACACTGACCAAGTAGCGTAATCAATTCATTCTCTGTGGGACCACCCACTATTGGGTCTGTTAAATAAAAATAAATCTGATTATTGTACACAAGCTTAAATGTGAATAATGTCTCCGAGTATTGTGCAATAATATTTATTATTATACATCTGTCACCATAACCATAATTTGCAGTATTTTACGGGGTATTTTCATCCTACCATGTAAAGAAATGTGAATTTCCAAATATGGAATGTTTACGCAAGTAAGCGTCCTCTAATAAAAACAAATAATAAAAAAACAAATACAGCTGCCACCAGGGTTTGACCGGACTCCACACAAAGAAGTTCTAAACTTTTTGGATTTCGGCATTCCCATGATGTATCCTTGGAATGAAAATATGTATAATAATAAGGTTATTACGAGGATATCTCAAAGTATGCACTCAGACAGTATGCCATCGCATTGACTCCTTCTGCGCATTGGTTGATACTCCCACTGTACTGTCTTCATGCATATTTTGTTTGAGTAATCTTTGTTATAACCTTATATTACTATACAACTGATATGGAAAACAACAAAAATCATCTGTCAGTAAAACGCTGTATGAACGTGTTTGAAATTGTTACAGACACATTCAAATGTCTTCCTTATTTAAACAAGTGACTTGACGGTCAAAATAGCTCCGCTGTCTTCATTATCAGTTATGATCAGTAAAGTGGCATTGTGGTTGACAGTTTCGGACTAGTTGTCGAAAATAAAAAAATTTACCAAAAATATTCACTAAAAATCCAAATTTACATATTTAGAGACAAATGTAACAAATCTGACAGAGGACCACCCCAAGTACCATTGCTGCAAATATGAAAGCAATTGGACTTACTGTTTAGGACTAGTTATCGAAAATAACATTTTTTTACCAAAAATGACAAAAATATTCACTAAAAATTCAAATTTGCATATTTTGACACGAATTTAATAAATCTGACAGAGGACCACCCCAAGTACCTTTGGTACAAATATGAATGTAATTGGTAAAGTACTTTTGAAGAAGAAGTCGTTTAAAGGAAAACTTCACTTAGAACGGACAACGCTGGAGAAACCCCCATACCCAACAGCTCCGCTGAGTAATCTTCAATGACAGCGAAGCTAAAAATTTGCACCTTGTTTACATCACATTTGAATACTTTTTTTTTGTTTACATCAAAAACAGACACATAGAATCCTTCATTGAACACAAATGTTCACACAGCAGAATGTGTTTTTCGTTGTTGATTCAGACTGCTATATCACATTAAATCATTATTACAAGCTGGTAATAGGTGTATAATAATAAGGTTATCACAAAGAATGCACACCCACAATATGGTAATGTATTCTATCCGTACCTTCTTTATCTTTTGAGTACTGCTCCAATGCTGTCGTCAAATCCCACATCTAGAATAAGACAATTTTACAATAATAAGTGATGAGAAGTATACAAGTAGTGAAATTTACAACAAATTTGGACCATACAAATTTATTTTAATTTTTATATTTTTACTCCTACAAACAAACAGTGAAGTGAAGTGAATCAAACGGTGAAGTGAATCACGTTGATATAACAATAGATGAGTTCCATGACCCCCAGTTGCTAAGTTACTGTGTGTGTCTGCGAAAGAAGGGGGGGGGGGGGGTCGATCTATGTCATTTGTGACCCATTTGCCTAAGTGAGCCTATGGGATATGTCAGAAATGTATGTACAGATAAATAAATAAAAATATATTTCCTATAGGTCACAATCTTGTTGTAATGTGGATGCCGAGAATCAATCAAACCAAACTAGAGAACCTAAAAACCCTGCTACAATTAGACATTATTAAAATAAATCTATAAATACCTGTATTGCTCCATTGGAATGACCTGTAAATAAATAACGCCTTGGTCTGGATCCCATTCTATTAGAACCTTCGCACTCATGCACACAAAAACATGTAATATTCGTTGCATCTACAGATTGTATTGTACAGACCCTAAAAAACAAAACAAATTTTGTGCATAAGACTACTTACTGACTATGAACCTATCGTGTCATGATATGACAATGTCTCTGTTAGTTAAATAAATAATCAAAACTGAAATGAGTCAGTTACATGTATTTTGAATCAGAATATGAAACAAATTATTTCCTCTTCCAAGGAAAGAAAAATACAAATTTCTATTTCAGCATTCTTTTCACGTTATGTAGTTGTAAAGTTTGATTGCGATTACAGCAATTTCAGGCACTCATTTGACGATGAAGTAGTGCTAGATGTTGATAACTTACTACAATAGGTTACACACTAATAAACTTATGTCAGAGATATGGCCCTAGAATCCACTTTAAAATGGCCACAATTCAGTCATCTTGAATCTGATCATCAAACAAATATGTGCGCATTTGTATGTGTGACATGATGTATGATGTACCAATAAAGTTTAAACATTAATTGCCAAGGCATTGTCAAAGATATTGCTCTGAAAAAGCAAATGGTCACCAGTCGGCCATTTTAATTCCCATATGAAAAACAAAATTATATGCATCATTATACCAATGTACCAAGTTGGAACAAAATACATCCATACATGAACACGATCAAGCTCTGGAATGGCAGAAATGCTTGATTTTGATGTAAACACTCAGCAAGCCTTGTATTAAAAACAAGCTGGTTCCTGAGCCCTTTAATCTGTATGCTACAGATGATGATTGGCTCACAACAAATTTGGTATTTATGTTCTATATTAGAAAATGTTCAAAACAAATCATTGGCACCTGTGTTGGGTTGTATCTTTTTGTTTACGCCTGTCTACTTGTTTCATACGATTATTCTTGAATATATCGCACTCTAATGTGTAATCATACCTGTTTCCAGTTGAAGAAAGTCGAACAAAAACTTGATCTGTCTCTGGTACCACTTTCTGTATGAATACTTGCATATCGTCTCTTTCTCCATGTGGTCCTAAATCAAAAACAAAGTTAAGCCTGTGAAACCTCACACCATGTCAATCACTCCATGCAATTTTTAAATTGATATGAGTATGATATTATTTTATTCAGAAATCTATATACATCACACTCACCAATATCATTTCCAGCTTGATAACTCCGATGTGGTTCACTGTCTTCCAAGGATAACACTTTGAATGATGCAACAGGAGCTGAGCCAGGCTGTGTTGAGAGCATGCCACGAAATCGTGTCACGTTCCATGTACGAGTGTGATTGAATTCTGAACACACTGTTTAAAACAAATATGTAGACATTTTATAAATTATTTTCACATCACTTCCCTATCAAATACAAGTCTGTTATCTTCTTTAATCAGTGATTCTATTCTATTCTATGTGATTCTATCACATTGTTGATGGCCACAACTAACATAAATGTCTGTTATTGTTGTGGTAAATGAATTCTAAAAATATTGTACTTTAGTTAGAGATAAATCTATAAATAAATGTGTAGGGGAATAAACAAGCAGCCTATCGGCTGAGATAGCTCCGCTGTTAGCAATGCACATTTCAATTAAAGAACTGAAGACATCATTAGAAAATGAACAATATAAATACAGTAGTATCAAAGCAATCGGACTTACAGTTTTTAACAAGAAGTCAAAAATATCACTTTTTACCAAAAATAACAAAAATATTCACCAAAATAAATTAATTAGAGAATTGAAGATATCATCACAAAATGAACAAATCTGAGAGAGTTCCACATGTAGTACCTATATATGTAATATCAAAGCAATCGGACTTACAGTTT